TTTTTTATGTGGTGCTGGGGATAGAACCCAGGGCCCCGCATGCTAGGCAAGCGCTCCACTACTAAGCCCCAAATCCAGGCCTCCTAATCTACTGTCTTCATGGACTTGCTTACTCAGGATATTTGTATCAATGAAATCTATGCGTGTCTTTTTTTATTTTTTATTTGTTTTAATTAGTTACACGTGACAGTACAATGATCTTGACATATCATACATTTGAATCAGATGGGATATGTGTGTCTTTTTGTGTCTGCCTTCATTCATCTAGCATGTTTTCAAGGCTCACTCATTTTGAATCAATACTTTATATATATATATATATATATATATATATATATATATATATATTTTTTTTTTTTTTTTTTTGGTGGTCCTGGGGAATGAACCCAGTGGTTGCGGTGTTTTGCCCCTGAGTTACATCCCCAAACCTTTTTTAAAATTTTGAGACAGACCTCATTCCTTTTTGGGATCAAATAATTTTCTATTGTACAGATACACATCATTTGTTTATCCATTCGTTACCTGATGAACATTCGGGTTGACCCTGGGCCTTGCACCTCTGAGGTACAGCCCCAGCCCTGTACTCTACCCTTAGCTAATGTTTTCCTTTTTTGTGTGTACCGGGGAGGGAACTGAACTCAGGGGCACTCAACCACCGAGCCACATCTCCAGTCTATGTTGTACTTTATTTAGAGACAGGGCTCACTGAGTTGCTTATCGCCTTGCTTTTGCTGAGGCTGGTTTTGAACTCCTCCTGGGATTACAGGTGTGCGCCACCGTGCCCAGCCCCACTCCTTAGCTATTAGCAATAATGTTGCTATAAAGATCCGGGAACAGGTCCGCTTTTGCGCGGTCATACACTCGGTTCCTTGGACACACACCTAGCAGTGGGTCTGCAGGTCGGGTGCTTCTAGCTGTCACTGTTGGAGGTCCGTTAGACTTTTCCACGGTGGCTTTACCATTTCCCTTTCCCGCCAGCAGCATGAGGGCGCCTCCCCCTGTCGGTTTTGTTGCTGGGCCTCGGCCACCACTGGGCCTCAGCCTGGTGCGGAGTCTGGGGTCACCGGATGGCATCTCCAGGGGGACTGCAGCGCCAGCCCCACTCCCGGGCCTGTGGCTTAGGAAAGCCACCGGATACCTCTCCTCCCTCCCGCCCCCGGGTCCTGGGGGCTGGGATCGCATTCAAGGGCCGCAGCCATCAGCAGGTGACCTCCTCCAAGAGCCTGGGTTCCTACCTGGCAAAACCATCAACACCATTTGCCTCCTGAGATCGAGGACTCGAGGACGGAGTGGAAACAAAAAGAAAAACAAAGAAACAAAAGCGAGAGAGAGAGAGAGAGAGAGAGAGAGAGAGAGAGAGAGAGAGAGAGAGAGAGAGAGAGAGAGAGAGAGAGAGAGAGAGAGAGAGAGAGAGAGAGAAACACCAACTGCTCTCCCGCGGTTTTCCGATTTGGCTCATTTCTCCCCTTTCCTCCCCTCGGTGTTTTGCTACTTTGTTTCCCTTTTGTCTCGTCCTTTCTGCTAAAACCCAGGGCCGGCTCATCTGGACGGGGAGCCCCGGCAGGTGGGGACAGGCTGGCGACCGTGCGGCTCTCCACTTCCCGGGGCCAGGTTCCACCGCGGGCGCGGCGCAGCGGGGCGGGGAACGGCGGGTCCCTCCCGGTGGGCCAGCCCCCGCGTCCGGTCCAGGCCTTCCCGGGCGCACACAAAGGTCCAGCGCCGCGGGCCTGGCCCCGGCCCATTGGCGGGAGCCCCGGGGGCGGGGCCTAGGCGCCCCGCCCCTGCCCGCCCCGCCCCCGGCCCGCTCGGCTCTCGCAGTCGGAGCCCAGGCGCGGGCGCAGCGAACGCGCAGCCAGGTACGAGGCTTTTCCGGGACCCGCGAGGGGCCTGGGGCTCCCCGCCCGAGCCCCGGGAGCGCAGGGACGGGGCCGCGGCCTCCCCCGCTGGTGCTGCCCCCCGCCGGCCCCCCGTGCGGGGTCTTCTGGCTCCCGGCTTTGGGCTCCGGGCCAGTTCCTCCCAGCCCCTGCGAGATGCCCGGCCTCCGGGGCCTGACGGGGAAGCGCGGGTCCTCTCCCTGGGAGGCAGGGGTGGGTGTGGCCGCAGCTGGAGGGATCGGAGGCGAACGTCGGGCAGCACTTCCCGCCCGGCCACCTGTTTTCTGCGCGCTGGGGACGCGCTGCCCGTCCCCCCCACGGCTCTGGCCTGTGGGCTGGAGCGTGAATGGGGTGACTCGTGGTGCGGGGGTGGGCGCGGGGGCGCCGCGCGCGGGAGGCGGAGCCAGCTCCCTGCCTGGCCGGGCCGCACCAGCTGTGGGCTCGCGGGTGGGACGGCGGCCAGGCCCGGCTGGGGAGCCGCCCTGGCGCCGTGCGATTGGCGGCATCGGGGGAGGAGGGACCGCGGCGCCCGCTCGCTGGTGTTTTTGCGCCGGAGGGTGGTGGGGGGACGACTAGACGGAGGAGAAAAACTTCATCCGCGAGTACAGGCCCCCTCTCCAGCGCGGCGCTGGCCACCCAGGTGCGCAGGTCGGAGATGCAACATTAATTTTTAAATTTTAAAAAGGAAAGTTCTGGGCCCACAGCTTTTGGGGGGTTGGAGTGGGTGCGTGTCCTGGGAGAAGTGAAGGGCAGCCCGCCCCGCTCCAGGCCGGGCCTTGGTTCTCAGAGGTGGAGGTGTCTCGTTGCAAAACAGGAGGCCTCTCGAATCCTCGTCTGCAGATTGGGGATAGAACTTTTCCTAGCAAAAATGGGTGCGTGGGAATAAAAGGGCTAGCCCAGGCCGGAGGAACGCTAGGTCCACTCTCCCGCTGTTTTGATATTTCCCAAGTCTCTTTAGATGTCTCATTTTGCCCTTCTAAAACGATGGCCAAGCCGAAGCCAGGTGGTGGTTGTAAAAACAATAGCTTCGAATTCAACCCTCCTGCTTACAATTGCCCTCTGATGTCGCCATTGTATTTACCATAAGCCACAAACTTTTCAAGAGGCTTCCTGTGATGTACCCCCACTGCCTCTACAGCTTCCCTCCCTCCGGGCTTTTGCCGCTCTGGAGCCCGAGGCCTGGACTCTGCACCCATTAAAAGATCTTTTCAGACCCGGCTCAGCAGGTCCGTCTCTGGGCCATCCGCTCCTGGGCTGCCTGAAGGCCAGTAGATTCTCCATGCTGACCCATGTGTCCCTTGTCAGCAGCACTGGCCTGGTCGCTCCTCAGGGGAGTAGATGCTTGGGATTAATAAGCTGAGTTAGGCCTTGGGTCCTTGGGTCCTGCAGTGGAGGTGAGGATGAGTGGAGGTGAGGGAGAGGTGAGGGGGAGTGGAGTCCCTGGGTCCTGCAGTGGAGGTGAGGATGAGTGGAGGTGAGGATGAGTGGAGGTGAGGGGGAGTGGAGTCCCTGGGTCCTGCAGTGGAGGTGAGGATGAGTGGAGGTGAGGGGGAGTGGAGTCCCTGGGTCCTGCAGTGGAGGTGAGGATGAGTGGAGGTGAGGGGGAGTGGAATCCTTGGGTCCTACAGTGGAGGTGAGGAGGAGTGGAGGTGAGGATGAGTGGAGGTGAGCTTGAGTGGAGGTGAGGGGGAGTGGAGATGAGGGGGAGTGGAATCCTTGGGTCCTGCAGTGGAGGTGAGGAGGAGTGGAGGTGAGGGGGAGTGGAGTCCCTGGGTCCTGCAGTGGAGGTGAGGGGGAGGGGGACAGCCTGTTTGTCCTGCTGAGTGGCAGACTGAGGGCATTTGGTCTGCGTCCCACACACAGGGGCAGGAATGGAGGGAAGGCTGTTCAGCTCAACCGCGCCTCACAGCTGCACCATGCCAGCGCATTGATGTTGACTGGACAGGATCGTCGCACTGTCCACACATCCGCACCCCAGGATGCTTCATCATTCCAGTGGACAGTTGGGGAAACCGAGGCAGGGTTGCTGGCCAGAGGTTGCAGAGGTGTGGAAGAGCAGATCAAGGAAAGGATCCAACAGGAAGGAGTCGATGGGGACAGACCTGCAGGGCAGGGTTCTGTGCATGATGGATCGCTGTCCCCGGAGGCCTCCTGGTTGAGTGCCTGGTGGGGCAGTGGGTAACTCTCTGGCATCTGGATGGTCAAGGCTTTCGGGGTGCTCGTGGGGGGTCAGGAGGCTGGTGATGCTGGAGGGGCTGCCTTGGGGCGTCTGGCCTCTTTGCAGTCAGTGCCAGCAGGGAGTGGGGGGGCTGGGGCGCGGGCTGCAGCTGAGGAGGCCCGCCCACCCCTGCTGTCCCTGTGCCTCCCCTTTCTCCGCCCTCACCAGACCCCTGCTCAACCATGGAGCAGAGTGTGGCTGAGCCCTGCTGCTGTGTCAACCTCTGGCTCATGCTGGGCCTTGCTTCCAGGGACCCCTCTGACCCAGGTCAGCTGACCCGCCCCGTGCTCTGGGCCAGTTCTGCCCGCCCCGGCTCAGTGGGGCTGACTGTGCCATCATTGTAGGGGCTGGCCCCAGTCCTGCGGTTTCGCTGGGCAAGAGAATCACCCCATGGACCAGTGCCACTCCCTCCCTGGGAGTCCCTTAGAAATGCAGGCTGGGGGTGGGGACGGGGAATGTACGCCACCGCCACCTGAGAATCAGAATCTGCATTTGAACCCATGACGAGTGCACAGTCCTGACTGAGCCCCCTGTGCTGGGTCCTCACCTGGGAAACGTGGCTGGTGGCAGTGCCTCCCTGTTGGGTTCATGAGAAGATTGATCTAGGTCATGTATGGAGGTGTCTCCTGGAGCCCACACGGGCCAGAGGGCAGCAGCTTTGGGTGGGTAACAGCACAGCCCTCTGTCCCCACAGCAGGCCCTGCAGCCTGCCCTGCCCGCTTCCCAGTGTGGCTTTGTGTCCACCCCACCTGCCAGAGTGTCCACTCCATGGGCTGCAAGGTGGCTGGCAGGGTACCCAGCCCTGGCCTTCCCCAGCCAGAGACCCATGGAGGTTCCGATGCCCGCCTTTGTGAAGCAGGCCCAGGAGTGGACGTCTGACTGGAGCCAAGCTCCAGTCCACTCCTGCATCTTCTGCTTCAGGGAAGGGTCTGAGGCACAAGAAGGGTGCCTGGTGGCTGCTGGAGTGGCTGATGGCCCCTCCAGCTCCCTCCTGGGATGAGCACCTGGCTCCTTGGCTCCAGAGGCTCCTCCTGCGGGCGGCTGGTGGGCCTCCAGGCCAGGGCAGGAGCAGGACCTGCAGGCGGTCAACAGGGCTCTGCATGGTGCGGGTGTGGGCCAGGTGGGGGTCAGGCAGGCCGCAGCCCCGTGCCAGTACCCGTCTGAATTCCCAGAACCTTCCAAGAGGAGCTGTAGGGACCATGGAAAATTCCCAGGCTATTTTAGGCTGAGGCCCCTCTGCCTCTGATTCTCAGGGTAAAAGCCCAGCTGACAAACCCCTCCCTGGGGACAGTCGGGGTGGGGAGGGCTTCCTGCCCCCCAGTCTGCGGGCCCTTGACACTCATCAGAAATGAAGGGCACGCGGCCAGCTGCTCACCTCGCCCACTGCGCCCCCCTGGGGCAGGTGGCAGGCTGTGTCCTGGGCTGTTTCCAGCTCAGCGGTGGCTCAGAGGCCCGTGACTGCAGAGGAGGAGGTTGGGGTATCCAGGGTCCCCTGGTGCCCTGCAGAGCCCCGCTGCTGGAGGCCAGGAGCCACCCAGTCTGCGTGCACGTGTGTGGGTGCACACGGGCGCACCCCCCTGTACTCGTGCAGATGTACACTCGCACAAGCACATGCAGACACCCCCCACGCGTGCACGCACACCAGCACGTGTGCACACAGCCCGGCAGTCGTGACATGCCATGGCCATGACATTTGGTCCGAGTTTGGTGCAGGCCCTGAGCCTGCTGCAGCCTGAGCTTCCGCCTCACCCCCTGCTGCTGTGGGGACTGGGACGGGGCATGGCTGGGCATGGAGGCCAGCCCTGCCTTGTGCTCGGGCTCCAAGGCCACCCTTGGTGTTGCGGAGAGCAGCTGGCAGCAGGAAGCCACCCATGCTGGTGGGTGGGGCTAGGGCTGTCGCATGCCCACCTGGGGGTGCTCCTGGGTGACTGGCTGGCCGCACAGGGAGGCCATCCGTGTGCTCCCCCTGCCGGGCCTGTTCCGGCTGTCCAGGTGGCTCCTGAGCGGCTGGCTGGTGGAGGCTCCTCGGCCTTCCCATCCCTCGCACTCCGGGTGCCTTAGGGTTAGGGTGATGCAGGACTTAGCAGGTGCCCAGGGCCCTGAGAAGCCAGGAGTGGGCGGCGAGCCCCTGGGACATGGAGAGACCCTGTGTGGTCCCCACGTAGCTCCCCTGAGGAACAGGGGTTTCCAGTGGCATCTCAGGGGGACTGGATGCATTTGGCTCCAGCTGCCTTTTTGTGGTGCTGGGGATTGGACCCAGGTTGTCGTGCCTGTGGGGACAGTTGTACCGCTGAGGTGTGCCCCCAGCCCTGTGGGGCACGTTTGGGAAGTGTGAGGGCTGAGGTGGAGAAAGAAGGGGCTCCCTTGTTTGGGGCCTCCCGGGAGCATGGCGTGGGCATGTGTGCACAGAGGGGCCGCCCTCCCCACCCACTTTCACCCAGCATCCCTCCCCAGAGCCCTCCTGCTGGCCTTGGTCACATGGGGCCACATGAACCTGGGGCCTTTCTTGCTCCTCCTTCAGGGGGCTGATTGGCTCTCCAGGCCCAGCATGTCCCCCCAGGCAGGCGCACCCCTCTCTGCCCATGGCATTCTGTCCCCTCTGCCTGCCTGAGTCCGTGACAGTCTGTTGATGGCCTGATTCACCTGTTTGTTCTCAGGCTCCAGGTTCAGCCCTGTGTCTCCAGTGTCCTGAACAAGGCCTGGCACGGGCATCTGTCTGTTGAGCGACTTTATGATGGCCGTTACAGCTGACCGTTGCTGCTTACTCGTTCTGGGAAGATTCGTGCCCCACGTTGAGCACACGGTTTTTTGTTCCAACTTCATGATGATGGTGTGAATTCAGGACTATTGTAATTTGCATTTACTAGACACAGAAACAGAGGTCGAGAGAGGTTAAGTAACTTGCTCAAGATCCCACAGCCGGCAGGTGATAGAATTTGAAGCCAGGTGTGCCTAAGAGAAAAGACGGGTGGAGGGCAGCTCCCCACCTTACACTGGAGCCACCGGGTCATTGTGGTCCCACTTGCTGTCCCAGGAGGCCCGAGGGGGTCCTCCCGTCCCCTCCCCTCCCGTCCCCTCCCCTCCTGGACCCCCCTCCTTCCCAGAACTCCAGTCGCGGGAACATTCTAGGACTCTATGACCTGTCCTGCTGGCTCATGCTGGAGCCCTGAGCTGCAGCCCAGCAGCGGGCCTTTCCGAGGTGGGGGCTCCCTGGACGCGTGGTCCTGCTTGGCTGCGGCTGCAGCGAGAAGGGTCAGGAGGTAGCTATGTCACTCCCTGAAGAAGGCCAGCCGGCCCCCTCCTCTCCCAGCCCGACAGAACTGAGGGGAGTATGGGAGTGTCGAGAGGCTGTCTCCTCTGGAAGAGGAGGCCTGGGTCTCAGGTGGCCTGGGCATGGGGCCTGAGTCACCCCGAACCAGTGGTGGACGGGGTCTGGGTGTCAGAGCTTCCTGCCACAAGCAGCTGGAAGCTTTGGTTCCCAGGTGGAGAGCTGGACGCTCAGATGGTTCCTGTCTTAAACATGAGGCCCACCGGGCTGCTGCAGTCCACCTGCCCTGGACTCAGGGGACTTTGAGCTCAGGCCTGCCCTGGGCTGCCCGGCAGTGTCTTCTCTGCTCCTGAGCAGGTGTGAGTGAGGCCCATCACGGCCCTTCTCCAGTGTGGAAGGGACTTGACCCAGGGCCCCTGACTGGGGTTGTGGCTCTTTTCGTGACCCTGAGCGGAGGCTGGCTGGAGCCGGCACCTCCAAGTCCCGTCCCAGGTTTTGGGCACAGAGCCAGGTCCACTTACCACCAAGTTGCTAATCACCAGGGTGCAGCTGCGGAGCGGCCTCCTGCTGGGCCACCCGGGGCTGCTTCCTGGGGAGGCAGGCGGCATGGCGGGACTGCCTGGCAGGCTGGTGGCTGGGCCAGCGCGGTGTGCTCTGAGTCCCTGGATCTGCCGAGGGCCTGGAGGACACTGCTCTGGGGCTCTCGGAGGTCTCTGGGTGAGCCTGCTGGGCCTCTCTTCTCTGGGTGCTGGGGCAGCCCCTCGGGCCGTGTGCTGGGGTTTGAGCGCTCTGCTCCGCGGCCTCCTTTCCCCGCAGCCCCGGCACACAGTAGGGCACCAGGAGTGTCTGTCAGGGGGAGTGGCCTCACTGGTGGAGGGTTCCTGGCCTCCCTCCCCTTCACGGCATTTGCCAAAAGTCCCAAGTAGGCCAAGGTCTGTGCCGCGAAGGGGAGGGAGGCAGGACAAAGGGGACCAAGGCTGCCTTTGTCACTGTCCCCATCTTGGGGGTGATCTGGAGAACGGTGACAGAGGGAAGCCTGCGGCCACGTAAGAGCCCTGAGCAGGCCCCTGGCCCACTGGGGTGGGCACGGTAATGGTCAGGGGGCCGACTCGAGTCTGGGACGGCCACCGCAGGTGTGGAGAGGAGGATGTGCGGCCACCTCCAAGGCCTGACCCTGAGAGCTCCCTGTCTCTCTCCAGGTCAGCAATGTCATCTGAGCCTCCCCCCCCGCCACAGCCCCCCACGCATCAGGCTTCGATCGGGCTGCTGGACACCTCTGGGGCCCGAGATCGGTCACCATCTCCTCTGAGAGGCAACGTGGTCCCGAGCCCGCTGCCCACTCGCCGGACAAGGACCTTCTCAGCGTGAGTCTCGGGCTGGCTGGGGACACTTCCTGAGATGGGGCTCTTGCCCAGGGCCAGAGGTCCACTGTCCACCACAGTTGGGCCTCCGAAACCCCTGGGGAGTCTTGGGAAGGGGGAAGGGCTGGTGGTGAGGACCTTCTGCCCGAGCTTGAGGACACTGCTCTGTCCATGAGAAGGGCCACAAGCAGGGTGCTGATGGGTGGGGACTCCTGGGGCGTCAAGGTCATCGCAGTCAGCCCTGGTGGACACAGGGCTGCAGGAGACCCACACAGCACCTGGCAGGTGCAGGTTGCAGGCCCCGTGAGTGAAGCCTGCTCTGTAATTACGCACAACCTGTGTGACTGTCCGTGGCGGCTCTTTGGGCACAGCTGTGGGCAGGGCTGGGATGAGCTGGGTGTGTCCCAGGAGAGTGGGTGGCTGTCCCAGGGCTGAGGGGGCCTCTTGGACCTCCTTCTTCCGTCAGGACGGTGCGGGCTTCGCAAGGCCCTGTCTACAAAGGAGTCTGCAAGTGCTTCTGCCGGTCCAAGGGCCACGGCTTCATCACCCCCGCTGACGGCGGCCCCGACATCTTCCTGCACATCTCCGAGTGAGTCAGCAGCAGGTCTGGGCAGCCCTGGGCTGGACCAGGTGGGGCCCCGGGTGTGAGGACATGTGGCCAGGCGTGTGGAACTCTGCCCGTGACCAGCTCTGCCCCTGTGTGCATGTTAGTGGGGCCTTGACACAGATTGAAGGCAGGTGTGTGTGTGTGTGTGTGTGTGTGTGTGTGTGTGTGTGTCACAGCGACTGGGTACGCCTGTGAACAGTGTATTGGCTTTGTGAGCGTCTCCCGGCCACGGTGCCCAGGTGGACGGGGTGTGTGGGGCTCTGGAGCTGCTGGGTGCGCTTGAGCGCCCAGTGAAGCCGGTCAGTTGGGGGCACCCCTGGGAGGCAGCTTCCGGCCTGGCTCAGGGGAAGTGGCCCCGTGAGCCGGGGGGCTCCAGGAAGGAAGTCAGGGGCTGGACCCTTTCTCCTGCCGCTTGCTCATTGACGTCCTTCCTTCCTGAGTGTCTGGAAGCCCTTGGGAAGCCCAGGGCTGGGAGTGCCCCGCAGCCCATCCCCACAGCTGGCCCTGCAGCTTCGGATGTGCCGGACTCTTAGCTGCACTCCTGTCCTAAGCACTTCCCAACCCCCCATTTTTTTTCAATTTTGGGGATGGAGCCGAGAGAGGGAACTGAGGGGGCCACTGCACACAGCAGACCTGGAAGGCATGGAGACTGTGCTTCTAGAAGTGGGCCCCTCCCTCCCACTGCTGTGGCGGGCGCCTGGGATCCCTCTGACTTGGGAGGCTGAGGCAGGAGGATCCCTCAGCAATGTAGTGAGACCCTGTCTCAAAATAAAAAGTACATGGGGGGCACGGTGACGCACGCCCGTAATCCCAGTGGCTCAGGAGGCTGAGGAAGGAGGATCGCGAGTTCAAAGCCAACCTCTGCAAAAAGCGAGGCATTAAGCAACTCAGGGAGACCCTGTCTGTAAATAAAATACTAAACAGGGTTGTGGATATGGCTCAGTGGTTAAGTGCCCCTGAGTTCAGTCACCAGTACCTAAAAAATAAGAATTCAAAATGCTGACAATGTGGCTCAGTGGCTGAGCGCCCTGGACTCAGACCTTAGTACCAAACAAAAACAAAATCAGAAACCAAAAATAGGCCAGGTGTGGTGGCACACGCCTGTAATCCCAGCAGCTGGGGAGGCAGAGGTAGGAGGATCGCAAGTTCAAAGCCAGCCTCAGCAGTTTAGCCAGGTGCTAAGCCACTCAGTGAGACCCTGACTCTAATAAAATACAAAATAGGGTTGGGATGTGGCTCAGTGGTCGAGTGCCCTGTTCAATCCCTGGCACCCCCCAAAACAAACAAAAGTAACTGGGCCCCTGTTGTTGCACGTTGTCTGCTGCTAGGGAGCATCAGCCCTGCCCCTCCCACAGCGTGCCTGCATGACACGGGTATTGAAGGGCCCTCTGCAGCGCAGACAGGAGGGGACTGCTGAAGTTTTCACTTGTGTACGTGGGTGTGCAACTGTGTTTGCAGGCTGCCTCTTTTCAGAAAGAATGTCTCGTGGTTTACAAAAAAGTTAGGAAGACACGGGTTTGGGGGCACCCAGGAACGACGAAGATGCCGTGCCACCTGGTTTTACTGCAAGACCTGGGCTGCGGCTTTATTCCTGAGCTTCCTGGTGGCCAAGTCAAACACAGGAAGCACTTGGACTCTCTAATAAGGCAGCCCAGTTCTGGGGGAGCTGGCTGGCCCTGGCCTTCAGGGTCTGAGGGGACTTCCCTCCGGGGTCTCCTGGAGCAGCAGCAACAGCAGGCCTTGCCATGAGACAGTGACTTGTCCTCGAGACAAGAGGGGGACCTTTCTGGGGATGGTCACGAGGGAGGGAAGCCCTCCTGGGACTAGCTGGAGGGACCACAGGGACTTTCTGGAAGGCTCTGAGTGTCTGGGGTCCAGCAGAGGCTCGGCTGGGAGCCCTGAGCGGGGCTGGGCTGAGGGAGCCCAGCATCACAGGCCCTCGGAAGGGGCTGGTGGGTCGGGCTCCCTGGCAAGACCTGAGGCTGGGCACCGGGTGGAAGGCCTCGAGGCAGTCTCTTGGGAGGGGGGCCTCTGACAGTGGGGTGCTGAGGTCTGGGGGCGTGGCGCGGCTCTCCTTGCGGGGCTCTGACTGCCTGCTCTCCGCCTGCTCCCGCAGCGTGGAAGGGGAATACGTTCCCGTGGAAGGCGACGAGGTGACCTATAAGATGTGTTCCATCCCGCCCAAGAACGAGAAGCTGCAGGCCGTGGAGGTGGTCATCACCCACCTGGCACCGGGCACCAAGCACGAGACCTGGTCTGGGCACGTCGTCAGCTCCTAGGGGACCCAGAAGCACCCCTTCTCCTGAGCATGTGGGAGACTTTGTGGGGAGCAGGAGTCAGGGCCACACGAGATGATCTACCGCACGAGACGGGGCTTCTGGGGGACACAGTCCCTTCTGAGTGTCTCTGGAGGAAGGGGTGGGGGCAGGCCCGGGCGCTCCCGGCCATCAGCAGCCTCCCTCCGTCAGCAAGCTCTCACCACCTGGAAAGCATTAAAGGCATTTAAAAAGGAGAGGCGCCTGCTGGTGGCTGAGCCAGGGTCCCAGCCAGCCTGGGGGGCGGGTCCAGGGTCACTGTCCCCCAGCTGCCCAGAGGAGCAGGCCCGGCCCACAGAGCCTTTCCCCCTTCTGGTGGGGGCTGGAAATCCCTGGATTGGGCAGGGGGTGCAGCTCCGGGGTAGAGTGCTCGGCTGGAGCGCACCGGGTTCTGGGCCCATCCCCAGCCCCCCACCCCAGGTCCCCAGCTCTGGGCCACGGGAGGTGACGTGCTGCTTCCCCAGGGTGAGTCGTGCCCTCTGGGAGCAGGCCAGTGCGGTCTTTGACTCCTGGTTGGGTTGCTTCCAGGGAAGCTGCTCCAGGGTG